AAAGGGAAGGGAACTAGTTTTATTGAATGCCTATTAGTGTTTTACATATGGCATCTACTTTTTCGTGCATATAAGACCATTGTATGAAAATTACCTTAAAAGTTTTCATTTGTGAGGTTAAAAAACTTCCTTTAGATGGATTCTTAGTTAAATGGAATAATTGATTTCTTAAAGACTTTGGTGTACCTTATGATGAGGAACTACAGCTTTCTCTTAATACAGTCAGAATGATAATGAAAGGGATCATTAGGCTTGAATGATTAATAAACAAAATAGCAAGTAATATAAATTTAATCATCTAAATGCCAAAGAGTGATGTAGAAAATTCTGAAGTACAGAGTAGGAGACGTTATTCTTAATTCTTTTTATCCTAGCCTCTAGAAGATCAACCTATCTAAAAGAAAGAAATACAAGCCATAAATGCCATTACATAATTAAATATGCTGTAATTTCAGATATCCTATTAACTACAATAAAAACATCAAAAGTTAGTTTAATATTATATTTTTAACCCACTATATACAAAGATTATTTCAATCAATATTATTTCAATCAATAAAGATATTCAATCAATATAAAAATTATTGTACATTCTATTATTTTGGTATTAAATTTTTGAATTCTGGTGTATATTTCCACATACTGTATATCTCCAGTCTGACTAGCCACATTTCAGGTGCTTCACATTTAAGCTATCATTTTGGACAGTGCACCTGTAGATTGCTCTCTTTTAATTCCTTATGGTTTTGAAACAAAAGTCTATTTTTATATCAGTAAGGAACTAGAGGATGAGTTCTCATAAAATTAAAGAGGATTTTGGAGGAATGCTCATAGTTTCTTATTCCATTCTAGCCTTTCATGCCTATAGCTGGGTAACTGAGAAAATCATCACTTCATTCCTGAGAAATTAGAAGGAAAGCAGTCAGGAAAGTCACATGATAGAAAAATGATTAAGTCACAGGCGAGTTGATGGAACATGTATTTAATACACAAAAATAAAGAATTGATTGTGTTGTTCTTGCTTTTGAAAACATAGGGACTAGTATTTTCATATTTGGAATTCTTCATACAATATTTTGTATTTTAGCAATCTCTTATTTTGAAAATACTATTATTTTTGTAGCATGGTGCCGATGTCAATGCAAAGGACATGTTAAAGATGACAGCTCTACACTGGGCCACAGAACACAATCATCAAGAGGTGGTGGAACTTTTAATCAAATATGGTGCTGATGTACACACGCAAAGTAAATTTTGTAAAACTGCATTTGATATTTCTATAGACAACGGGAATGAAGATTTAGCAGAGATATTACAGGTAACTTCTGGCTTTTAACTTAAGAAAATAAACGAAGAAACTTTATATGTTGATGGACCTCTGTCTTGTGAATGATTTAAACTATTTAGCTTGTAGCTTTCCATTTTAGACTTAGTTATTTTGGGCAAGCCCTTTTCTCTTTCACTTCCTCTTTGTTTACTGCTGTTTTGATGATTGTTTGACCACAGCTCTTTTCTATAATATTAGATTAGATAAGGTGATTATTTTCTGTGTTTTAAGTTCCTGAATTCCCTTTCTAGACATTTTATTCTATTAATTATCTTGTTGCATTTTGGGGTACTATATGTTTTTTCAAAGTCTATTGTAAATTACTTTATAAATATTAAAAAACATGTTTAGCAACCCATAATAATGTCCCTGGAGTAAGCGATTTAATTTTTATCATTCTGAGTTTTTTCTTTGTTTTATAACATCTTCCAAAAAATCTGTTTGTGGACATGCTTGTTTCTGGCTTTGGGGTAGGTTTTCTAGTAACCAACATTAGTTCTTTTCTTTAGCTAGATGATATGATTTAAATAAATTATCTTTACTTACTGCCTCTTTTTGCCTTTCTTCTCTTTCTCCTTCCTAGTAGAACTCTTCTCTAAGACTATCTGATTCTGTTGAACTTCCTCTAGTTACTTAAATGTTTCATGTTCAGGAAAATTAATTTTACCAGACCTTTTTTTCATTCTCCTACTCCTAAGAGTACAAGTTAGGGGTTAGGGTTGAAGCTGGGAACAATTAGTTGAGAAGTCCAGGTATTATATGTGTAGTGTTATCTATTGCTGAATTCGGTAGAAGAAATAATTTCTATAGCTATAGGGTAGTAGAATATTGTTTAATGTGTGATTTTTCTGTGTTCTATAAAAGCTTTTCAGATATCCATTTCTCTTCTCAAAGGATTTTGCTCCTTTACCTCAGAGGGGGACTTAGGATATAAACTCACACCTATGTTCTACTACTATACTCTCTGTGGACCATAGACATATATTTCCATTTGTATTATAAAATTCTTCTTAGAGAATGTTCCTTTATATGTGTGTCTGTAACATGAAGAGAATTTGTGTTCTATGTTCTGGTTATAATTCTGAAGACACTGTGGTGATTTGTCCCCTAGATTGCTATGCAGAACCAAATCAACACAAACCCGGAGAGTCCTGACACTGTGACGATACACGCCGCAACACCACAGTTTATCATTGGACCTGGAGGGGTGGTGAACCTAACAGGTCTGGTATCTTCAGAAAATTCATCCAAGGCAACAGGTATTGAGATGCATATAGGATAGCTGTTGGGATTTTATGCTTAGTAGGTATGCATCCTTTTAAGAAAGGACTCTTGAAGAATAAGGGTAAGATTATATCAGCTATCTTATATTTTTTGGTATAATTGGCTAAAATAAATTTTTAGAATTCAAAATAATCTAAAGAAAGGTGATATTGCAAAATGTTCTGCAGTATTACCTTTCAAAAACTCAGGCTATCCAAGCTTCATTTAAGAGTTGAATAAAATAGAATATCAGAAATATGCATTGGATTAAACTCCTTAGAAATTAAAATCTTTTTTTTTTTTTTCTTATAGACGAAACGGGTGTATCGGCTGTTCAGTTTGGAAACTCCTCTACATCAGTATTAGCTACATTAGCTGCCTTAGCTGAAGCATCTGCACCATTGTCCAATTCTTCAGAAACTCCAGGTTAGAAAAACAAATCAAATGCGTACATTAAAAATTGCAGATTCAAATACTTACCCTTTTCAGCACCTTTGCAATTGCAGAAGCATATCAGAGAAAACAGATTTTATTGGTGGTTTCTTTTTGGTTAAATCTATAAATGTCTTTTCTGTAATTAAATTACATACCTCTGAAAATATAGTAGCTTTTCTCAAAAGTCACTGGAAGTTCTAAAATTTATAAATTTGGTTCCATGAATTTGCCACACCAACTTCTCTAACTTCTCTTTCTTTTTATGGTCTAGTCCAGTGTTTTTCAACCTTTTTTATCTCACGGCATACTTGGATCTATAATTAAACTTCCATAGCACACTTGATCAAAAAAAAAAAAAAAAAGAGTTAAGGCTCAGCACCCATAGCTCAGTGAGTAGTGTGCTGACTACATACACCAAGGCTGGTGGGTTCAAGCCCAGCCTGGGCTTGCTAAACAACAATGACAACTGTAACAACAACAAAAAATAGCCAGGTGTTGTGGTGGGCGCCAGTAGTCCCAGCTACTTGGGAAGCCGAGGCAAGAGACTCACTTAAGCCCAAGAGTGTGAGGTTGCTGTGAGCTGTGATGCAATAGCACTCTACTGAGGGCAAAATAGTGACACTCTGCCTCAAAAAAAAGAATATATTTACTATGCTTTGAACTTCTTTTGAAAATAATTAATGATCTTTAAAAGTTTTTACAGTGTACGTAAGATCCTCTCATGGCATACTGATTGAAAATCTCTGGTCTAGTCTGAGAGAATCAGTAATTTCAATTGACTTTTATTGCATGTGACGTACAATCTTCTGTGAACACAATCATTTTGCACTTCAGTGCTCCATCATAGTGGAATCTTTTTGCAGATATTTTAAGAACTTGGATTAAATAGAAGTTTAGCTAAGTATGTTGCTACCAATGTAAACAACTCAGCTGAGATATGTAATCAAATATCTTCTCAAAATTCAGTTTGCACATGCTCAGGCAAAGGTAAATCTGACACAAATTATTTCTCTGACTTGGCTGTCCAGTTTCTTTTACAATCACTTGTCCAAGACATCCTGATTCTAGAAATATTTACATATATCTTTTCAAGGCTTGTTAGGATCTGGAAAATATAGTAATAGTATCTCCATTTTACATGTGATAAAACTGAGATTAATGGAGGTTGAATAATTTTATCCAAGGTCACATAGCTGTTAAGTGGTGAAAGAATTGTGCTCAGTCTGATTGCCAAGTTGTGCCTCTGTGACAATTTATACTGTCTCTTCTATGCAATTTCTTTCCTTTTTTTTCCTTTGGTGAGGGGGAGACAGTCTCACTATGCTACCCTCAGTAGAGTGCTTGTGATGTTGTAGCTCACTGCAACCTCAGACTCTTTTTTTTTTTTTTTGAGACAGAGCCTCAAGCTGACCCCCTGGGTAGAGTGCTGTGGCATCACAGCTCAGAGCAACCTCCAACTCCTGGGCTCAAGCGAGTCTCTTGCCTCAGCCTCCCAAGTAGCTGGGACCACAGGCGCCTGCCACAACGCCTGCAGCCGTCATTGTTGTTTGACAGGCCCAGGCTGGATTCGAACCCTCCACCTTGGGTGTACATGGCTGGCGCCTTAGCCACTTGAGCCATAGGCGCTGAGCCAACCTCAGACTCCTGGGCTCAAGCTATTCTCTTGCCTCAGCCTCTCGAGTAGCTGGGACTACAGGCCCCTGCCACAACTCCTAGCTATTTTTATAGATGGTGTCTCGCTCTTGCTCAAGCTGGTCTCAAACCTGTGAACTCAGGCAGTCTACCTGCCTCGGCCTCCCAGAGAGCCACTGTGCCCAGCCCATACAGTTTCTTCAGGTGATCTATGGGCTGATCTCTTTTAGAATGTTTATAATTTGGTTTGTGATATTTGAATTATACAATATTTAAATATTTGTATAATTATTTTGTCTTAAATCAAGCAAAAGCATCACTATTCCTACTTTACTTTTGTGATTTATCTGTTTCTATAGCTTTTTCTTTTTTTTTTTTTTTTTGAGACGGAGCCTCAAGCTACCCCCCTGGGTAGAGTGCCATGGCATCACGCTCACAACAACCTCCAACTCCTGGGCTCAAG